CCCCAATACCATAAGACCATCAAAGCATAAAATGAACCTTAACATTCTTCAAGCTTCATACGAGAAAGACGCTATAAACAAAATATGTCTAGTTTGTCTTAAATTTTAATTTTTTTTGTTTTTTTTTTGAGTAAAAAGAGTATCAAAATTCGAAACATTTACTCCTTACATTTGTTTTAAAGTAGTCTTTCAATTAGTTGACTCAAGAAAAAATTCACCGATAGTAACTAGATCGCCATCAGTTAAAAAGCAGCGATATGTGGTACTTTTAAAAAACAATTTTAGAAATCCATATCTAAAATGACGAATTTAGAACTGGTTCAAAACTATAGAAAATGGGGTGCAAAGCGAACTAGGTCCCATATGTCGAATTTAGGACTGGTTCTGAACTATAGAAAAGGTAATGTAGCGGGGGACAATTTCTAATTCCTATGACATCGCTGTGTTAAATTCACCATTTGTTTGCATGCAAAAGAGATTTATCGCGAACTAGTAGTGGTTCTAAATGTACTAGAAGCGCACCAGTTCAAAACTAGAGATTTTCCCCTCAGGTCAGCAATGCTGGGCATACCAACACAGTCTCACTTTGACGTGGTATTAGTGCGTCGCGCTCAGTTATGGTTGCCACATTTTTTATAAATGTACTAAGTGGTATTTTTCGTGCATGGGTCTATTGGTCTATTTTGCCTATACGTATAGTGGAATAATGAATCTTGTAACAATACTATTAGTTTATAGAAACTTTTGCATACGAAAAATTTAGTACATGTAAAATTTAAATTGGTAAAATTCATTTGTTTAATAACTGGGCACCGTTTTCTTAGAATCAAATCTTTGAAATGCCAGCCGGCAAGATGGTTACGGTGCTTAGACTTTATTATTTTCATTAAATAGGTATTTAGTCCTAAAAATAGAGTATAACTTATAAATATTATCCACTAAGTATTTCTGGCCATAAACCAGCATTTATATTTCTCTATCGATTTCTTTAGATAGAAAACAATTTTTCTAAAATAAAGTATGCAATTTGTGCCCTTTTTGAAAAAAATCATGGAACTTATTATAAAATTAGTGAACGTTGGTCAGCAAGAAGCCCATTTTATATTTTTTTAAATTCACACGGCATGAAAAATACAGTTTGCTTATATTAAAAATACGTAGGTGTGACACAATGTCGTTGAAGGTTCTTTGAACTATGAATTGTAGTTCTTATATATAGTCGCACTATTTTGTGTTTGAATCGAAGTAAACTCACGCAAACACCAATCGAAGAATAATACACCACATTTTGCTTTGGGCATTTTTTGTCAATTTCCTACACAAAATGTGGCAAGCGTGTGCTAGAATTAGGAAGAAAAACAATCAACAGCCGAGCGTAAAATTACCTTGGTGAAATCTGCAAGCAGACTGAATCGAAATTCGCTGCTTTGCTTCTGTATCAGTGTTGGCATTTGAGCCGTTTTCTGGCTAGATTTAGCCGGTTGCGATAGCAAACAGCCGCAGAAATTTCGATTTAGCCGGCAGCCGATTTGTTAGCCGTTTTGCAGAAAAAAATTAGCCGTTTTTAGCCGATTTTGCTATTTGCCTTGTTATCTTAAATTTCAAATATGTATATATGTTTCCATTTTTTACTAAGCGACCCAAAATCTGTTTGAAATGGCTACTAGCCTAATCGTGGAGAAAATTTTCATGTCAGGCAGGATTTTATGAAATTGGGCCGATTTCGCTTATTTTTATTATAAATGTCTTAATTTTAAGTGTGAAGTTTTATTCGCAAACTTAGAAAATAAGAAATTGTTTCACTGTTAAGACACTTAAGATGCGTTTGTGTTTGGATATAGTGCCAACAAACAGAATAAATATTACATGTAGATATTGTCTTCCCAGATAGCGCATATTCAATTCTGCCTAAATTACAAAACATCATTTTTGCCCACTCCCAAAGGTTTAAGGTAAGGGAAAAATTGATATTTTCAAGCACTATGTACACATATGTATTTTTTTAAACAAACTTTTTTGCTGAGAACTTATTTAAATTCCAAAAACCGAATGCCAACTTGAATTAAAGGAACCAACACTGAAGTGAGTCAAAATGAAAATAAAAGAGCACAAATTTCTATGTAAAGCAAAACTCTCTGGGAATCCTACGAGACATCTGCCGGTCATATGACCGGTCATCTCAATGGGAGATCTGCAGTCTTTTAGCATCATATTTTACATCAGAATTGAAGGGATTTCTGAAAAATCTGACCAGTTCTTTTGTGTAACTGTGATTTTGCATCCCTTGTCAACATATGGCCTCGGTTGATGTTAACTTAAGGTCGTTGTTTTACTGCCTTAAAATTGAAGGGAAATTTTTACAGCGTTTTTTATGTGTATTGGTTTCTATTTGAGTGTATTGAGAATCGGTCAGTCTGAAAAGGCCTTGTAGGGAAGACAATAGGTTTGTTCGTCGAAAATCCAGCGAGAATTATCACTCAAAATATCAGATAGTAAGAAAAAATGCTCCCAAATTCTCTCTCATGTGGAGAAACTTGCAATTTTCTGTACGAACGCAAATTTGGAAGTTTTTCTGCCAGCTAGTGTCCACGGTTGCATTTCAAACAAAAGAAATTTGTATAGAATTTTTAAAATTCTTTCTGAGAGGCAAAAGTAGGATCTACGTGTATATATCTTGTCAGTCCTACTTTCTTCAACATACGTTTCAATTTCTTTGTCAGGTTTACTATATCGACTCTGTTTGAGATTGCATTCCGATTAAGAAAACAGTTTTTTTTGCCGAGTACCTTTCAAATCATTGGAATTAACTAAATTAATTAAGTAAACAAGTATTAACTTACATTTTTCATTTTAAAATCGCTGCAGTTTGTAAATTTTTAAATTTAACGATCTTGTTTATTCAAATTATCGTCGACAAAAAATCCAACCATGCGCCACAATCATATGTTTTTCCTAATTGCAAACTCTTGCTGGCAAAATTTTTTCCGGCTAGAATTTGTAACTTCTCTCCAAGAAATAGTCTTTTTACTCGTGATTTATTTAAATAAAACATGTGAAATTTAGTTGAAACATTTTAGCCGGTTTTATTTGCCAATTTAGCCGGTTCGCCCAAAAGTTCTGGCAACACTGTTCTGTATACGTATACGAACTGCGGCGCTGGCGTTGCACGCGAACAGTGATCGGACTTCTACCACATTGTGATAGATCTACCACTTTTTGGAGCCTCCACCACATCTCCCTCACACAAGGTCTGAAATCTACCACATATTCGCATTTTTAAGTAGTTATAATTTAGCTCCGCATGATTTTCTTTATTTTTTTTAATTTTAAGAGCAAAAATTGTCCAATACTAAACACTATGTGGTAAAAAGTAGGGATACGATATCGAACCGAAAGTACCGATATAGTACTCATTTAAAGTATCGCTGTAAAAATATCGGGCACCCATTAATATCGTAATAAAAAGACTCGATATTCCAAATATCGATACAAAATTCAAAAAATTAAATCTGAATATTGGTGTAATTTTCTATTATTATTATAGAATTAACACTTTGCACTTTAATAAGTACATCACTGAAGGCGCGCCACATACCAACCTAAGAGAGTACATATTTCTGCGCTTTAAAGCGCATAATATATCCATATTGCTTTACATATAAATTCCAAAGTAAGTAAAGTTATAGCTCGACATAGATTTGCAAGAAATGAAATATTTAAAAACAATATTAACAACAAAACTTTCAATAAAAATTTTAGTAAGGACAAATTTTTACATCTTGGAATTTGGAAAATTGACTTTTAATTTTTCAAATATTACAACAAAAAGTTTTATACAAATCGATNATAAAAATTTTAGTAAGGACAAATTTTTACATCTTGGAATTTGGAAAATTAACTTTTAATTTTTCAAATATTACAACAAAAAGTTTTATACAAANCTTTAATAAGTACATCACTGAAGGCGCGCCACATACCAACCTAAGAGAGTACATATTTCTGCGCTTTAAAGCGCATAATATATCCATATTGCTTTACATATAAATTCCAAAGTAAGTAAAGTTATAGCTCGACATAGATTTGCAAGAAATGAAATATTTAAAAACAATATTAACAACAAAACTTTCAATAAAAATTTTAGTAAGGACAAATTTTTACATCTTGGAATTTGGAAAATTAACTTTTAATTTTTCAAATATTACAACAAAAAGTTTTATACAAATCGATTGCTGAGTGGAAGATCGACCTATCTCGGCAGCTAGTTCGAAAACACCCTACCTCAAAAAACTTTTCAAGAACGCCCTATTTCAGAATTTTATTGAAAAACACCCTATCTCAGAATTTGGTTGAAGAACGCCCTATCTTAGAATTCGATTCAAAAACGCCCTATCTCACTTCAAATGTATTGAAAATGTGATGAGATAGGGCATTTTCGAATCGGCAGCTGAGATAGCGCGTTTTTGAAACAAATTCTGAAATAGGGCTTTCTTGAAAAGTTTTTTGAGATGGGGCATTTTCGAACTGGCTATCGAGATAGGTCGATCTTCCACTCAGCAGNAATTTTAGTAAGGACAAATTTTTACATCTTGGAATTTGGAAAATTAACTTTTAATTTTTCAAATATTACAACAAAAAGTTTTATACAAATCGAAATAGTCTTGCCCAATTCCCAGAGTTTTGACATTATCATTTTATTTTCTAATACTTTGTCATACAAATGTATAATTATTCACATTACCTTTGTAATGTACATTTACGATTCGATACGATGCAAGGGTTCTGGTACTCGATTCCAATAAATATCGTTTGAAAACTTTCGAGTAAAAAATATCGGTATCGAATGGCAAAAATATCGATATGGTATCATATCGTATCGAAATTCGTGTCCCTAATAACAAGAATGATAGTATACAAGATTTCGCATTCCCGGCGGCGATTTCTCAAATAAGAGTAAACAATTGTGAAAGTATTAGCATCTCAAGTTTTCAACGCGTTGTTTACATTTACTTGAGGATTGTCAAAATTGGCAAAACCCAAGTTAAAAGTTTTTTCTAGAAACTCGAATTAAAAAGTTTTCAGTGAAGGTGAAACCTTGCAGGTTTTTTTCAATTTTTCTAAAAAGTCTGGTCTACCAAATTTTTTCTAAATCTACCACACTTTTTTCCAGNACGCGTTGTTTACATTTACTTGAGGATTGTCAAAATTGGCAAAACCCAAGTTAAAAGTTTTTTCTAGAAACTCGAATTAAAAAGTTTTCAGTGAAGGTGAAACCTTGCAGGTTTTTTCCAATTTTTCTAAAAAGTCTGATCTACCAAATTTTTTCTAAATCTACCACACAGAATTTTATAAGTCCGATCACTGCTCGCGAACACAAATTGCCCAGCTCTGATGTACAGAGACAGAGGGAACATTTTCTTTGCAGATCTTCCGCTGTATCGCTGCTTACATGCACACGAACGCATGATCGATAGGAAACAAAAACAGAGCCGAAAGCGAATAAATGGAACAATTTTTAATTAGGTTCTTTCCCACACGCAACGCGGGATCCCGCGGGTACCCAAAATAGCCCAAAAATCATTCCCGTACTCAACAAAATGGGTAATAGAGAGCGAAAATTGGAACGTATTGGTTCGTAAGTGTCTTCTTCTTCCTGCCCGAAACAGCCCGGACTTTTTCTCTGGGTAAAAATGGATAAAGTGTCAAAGTGCATATCAGTTGTTTTGTGCTTACATTTTGCCTGCATTTACTTGATGCTTTTAAGGAATAGGCCGTTGATGTTTTTTCAATCGGGGCACCGAAATTGCGCATATGGAAACTGTGCATTTAGACATTATTTCGGTTTCAACCGAAACTGTGCATGTATGCA